GGGCAGCCAGATATGGGAGCCCCGGCATTGCGGCATGCTCAAACCACCCAACAACCCCGTGCGCTCCACAACCCCCCATCACTTCCCACAGCCTGCCCCCCCTGCAATACTGCCCTATCCCAGCAGTGGGGAGCACCCATCTGCCTCCCCTGTGCTCCCATACCCCACGTCTGCCTCACCCCTCTCATGCACCAGCACAGTCCTACCCATCAGCACGTGTTGCTCCTGCTCCTCACGGTCCAGGGCATGTGTGGTGACAATAAGCCCCGTCTGTGGGTGGATGGAGAACGGCCCTCCAGAGACACCCCCATAGGACACCTGCCCATTGGCACCTGCAGGGAGGAACATGGTTTGAAGGCTGCCTGGAAGCAACCCCAGAAGCCTCTCATTTGGCTCACAGCCCTGCACCTCCCTCCTCCCAGGCTTCCCACCCAGGGGTCACGCAGGCTGTGGGAGAGGATGATCTCACTCTCTGGCAAGTAAAGCTGGGGCAGAGATGTGCGGTGGAGGGAGGTCCCGGCCCAGCCTAGCCTGTGGATGGGAAGATGGGCCAAGGAACCTCCAAGGAACGAAGGCCATTGTCGTGGGGAGCAGAGGGAATAACAGTCCCTGCTCTCATTCTCAGCTCTCCCAGGATTCAGCCATCTCTCATCTCCAGGCCAGGTGACGATCCTTCCCTCCATGGTCAGCCAGGCTCTCCAAACCAGATGGAAGGTAGCAGAGTGCACCCAGTCCTGGGTGCTGCATCTCCAGAAGGGCCCCTGACCAAACTGGGCAGGTCACTCTCGCCCTGCATCCTCACCCAGGTCCCGGTCCGTGGCCAGCACCTGCAGCACAGGGCTGCCAGCTGGCAAGTTCTCCATGATGTGTGCTTCATACTCAGGTTTCTCAAAAGTGGGTGCCTCATCGTTGACATCCAGCACCAGCACGGACAGTAGCTGTGTGGCAGAGCGGCGTGGGAAACCGTGATCCATGGCCACCACAGTCAGGTTGTGCTGCACCACCTCCTCCCGGTTCAGGGCCCGCACAATGGAGAGTGCACCTACAGATACAGGGACAGGGGCGAGCTGGGACCACACTGCACCAGGGCCGACTGTTCCCAGGACAGAGCTATAGCAAGGCTGCAGGCACTGGTGTGAGCCAGGGACAGCCAGGTCTCAAGACAGACAGCAATATCACACCAACCAGGTACTACGCTTGGGGCTCTCCACACCCCAGAAATGTCCCTCCTCTGGGTTCCCCAGCCCACACCTTCCTTCAGTGCACCATGCTACACCCTCATGTATCCCCACACCCTCCTCTGCCACCGTGTTCCCCGTGTCCCTGCCGGCTACCCTGCATCCTCCTGGGACCTCACCAGTGCTGGGGTTAAGGTGGAAGCAGCCGTCGCTGTTGCCTGCTCGCAATGAGTAGCTCACACGTCCGTTCTCTCCCAAATCGCTGTCCTGGGCCACCACATGCAGTGCCACGAACCCCGTCGGCTGGTCCTCCATGACGCTGACGGCAGCAGGTGAGAGGAACACGGGCGCGTTGTCATTCTCATCAGTCACAAACACACGGGCCGTGACAGCTGCCGAGCGGCGCTGGCTGATGTTGCGGGCCTGGTCCATGGCTTCCACCCGAGCGGCGCTGGCTGATGTGGCGGGCCTGGTCCATGGCTTCCACCACCAAGAGGAAGGAGGCAGCAGCCTCCCGGTCAAGGCCCCGGCGAAGGGTCAGCAGCCCTGAGCGGCTGTCAAGCTGGAAGGGAGCCCCGGGGGGCTCCTGGTGCAGCAGGGCATAGCGCACCTGGCTATTGGGACCCACACCATCCCCGTCCAGCGCCTGGAAGGTGAAGACGGATGAGCCAGCCTGGGCATTCTCGGGCACCACGATGGTGATGGGGTCTTCAGGGAAGGTGGGTGTCTGGTCGTTGCAGTCCTGCACATGGATCTGTACCAGCACCAGTCGGCTGGAGGGATAGCCATGCTGCGTGTCCTCAGCACTCACCTGAAGCATGTGCCGTGCCCCAGCTTCATAGTCCAACTCCCGGGCAGCATAAATCTCCCCTGTGACACTGTCAACCACAAAGGTGCCATCCCCCCCACCTCCTACCACTGTGTACGTCAGCTGTCCTCGCACAGGGGCGTCTGGGGGTGCTACTGAGCCGATCACAGACCCTGGCTTGACACCCTCCAGAGGCTGCAGGGTCAGCACAGTGGTGTCAGGCCGTGGCAGCACCCGGGAGGATGGCAGCACCTGTGAGGAGAGGCAGCAGTGAGGGGCACACGCCAGGGCACTGTGTGCCAGGAGGCCCTACTGGGGAGCCAGGGGAGAGGGCGAAATGGGGCCTGCAGAGCGCAGGTGTTGGGAGGCCAAGAGGCGAGAGGCAAGGTCTTCTCTAAGAGATGAACAACAACCTGAAAAACACGAGTTTCCCCTGGGGAACTAGGGTAGGTAAGGACGGACAGAGCGGGGACTGGGCAGAGAAGGCTCAGGGGGGAAGCTCAGCAAAGTACCTCAATACCTGAAGGGAAGGTGCAAAGAGGATGGAGCCAGGCTCTGTCCAGTGGTGCCCAGTGCCAGGATGAGAGGCAATGGGCACAAGCTGAAACACAGGAGGGTTGCTCTAAACGCTGGGAAACACTTTTCACTATGACGGTGACTGAGCACTGGCACAGATTGCCCAGAGAGGTGGAGTCTCCATGCTTGGAGACAGTTGAAAGCCACCTGGACATGATCCTGGGCAACTGACTCCAGCTGGCCCTGGCTGAGCAGGGCGGCTGGACAAGATGACCTCCAGAGGCACCTTTCCTCCGCAACCCTTCTGTGAGCCTGTAATTCTGTGACCGTGTTAGATACTGCAAAGGCAACAGGCACCAGCAGAAACAATTCTGCAAAACATAAGCAAGAATGGGCAAGAAGAGAGGTAACACTCATCCATACGAGAGGTACAGAGAAGAAAGACAACCAAGTAAGACCCCAAAATAAATAAATACTATCACTAGTTTTATTAAAGGTACTGAAGTTAATTTGGGGATGAGCTGCACCTGTGGATGGGACAGAGGATGCATGAAAAGCCATAGTGTTATCTGAAGGGAAAATGTGTTGAAGAACTCCATGCACTCATGTCAGGTTGCTGGGGAAAACAGAATACAGCAAAACTGTCAGCCCAGAGGGGTATCAAAACTAGCGACTGTCAGCTACATTATAGGGATGCAAACAAGCACTACAGGGGCAAACAGCCTGCCGGCCTGGCCTCAACACTTTGAAGGCTGTAGAACAACTTTAATGAGAACAGTTACAGACATGGCATAAAAAGGAAATGGTATAAAATGTATGGTGGAATGGCTAAAGGCAGATGTGCTAGGCTAATGCACTGCTTCTCTCCTGATGGACAAAGGAAGTGCAGTGTGTCTAACTTGCCTGGGTTTTAGCTAGGCTCTAATGCAGGAGCACATGGCAGATCACTCATTAAACTAGGGAAAGGCACAGTATGAGTATGGCTGTGTGACAGAAGGGACTAAAAGATCGAGTGGCTCAAGGAGAGTGATTAGCAGGCCTTTGCAGAGATGGCTTTTGGTGCTGACATTTACTTTGGATAGGTGCAAGAGCAAAAGAAAGCTGAGTACTTTACGAACTTGCTGACGGCAAGAGGGCACTGCCAACACAGAGAAGCAGCAGAATATCAAACCAGGAGAGTCAAGTGGCCTTGGGAACTGCAAGAACAGGGACAGGAAGATGTGAAATGGTGTGCTGTGAAAGAGCCTTGACTGGGGGGAAACTGGAGTCTCTTCTGTAAATGAGAGCTCATTACTAACAACAGAGAAAGGACTTGGCTGTCTGGGCCAATACACCAGACAGTGAGTGCCAAAGTTATACAGAACACCCAACACATCAGGAACACTGTTTTCAGTAGATGCTGGAAAGAATTAATATCTCTGTACAGGGGACCTCTAAGGTCTTCTCTGCAACAGCATATCTAGGACAGGGTTGGCTATCCAATTCTGGAAAAGACAGAACTGCTTACTATTAATGCTGTTGACCTCTTTACAAATGAGCATGTGCACAGTGGCAGATAGACCCATCCATTCCCATCCCAGGTTCTCCGCACAGATTTTAGGGCTGGATCAACAGCTGAGCAAGCGCAGAGGGTGCCCTGGGATGAAGGTGGTGGAGGGTGAGAAGGTGGGGAAGGAAGGCTGACAGGTAGCTGGATGGTGTCCTCGAAGAGGTGAGCGAGGGGTAAATGGTGCAGGGACAAGAGGAGCTGGGGTGCTCGATACCTGAATGCGAATGATGGCTGACGTACTGCGAGGCACCATGCCCCGATCACTGGCTGTCACAGTGAAGATGTACTCAGCACGATCAGTCCGGCGTAGAACTGTGGCAGTCCGCAACTCTCCAGTAGCCTTGTGCAGCGTGAAACGCTCTGCCCAGGCTCCTGCAGAAAGAAGGTGAAATGCTGCCAGCAGAGGCAGGGAGGAGGAAGGGCAGGGGGCAGGTTGGGATGGAGGAGGGAGCGTGGCATGGCAGGGCTGGGGCAGTGGGCACCCAGCTGCCCACAAGGGTGATGGCTGCAAGGCAGAGAGCGGCATCCATAAGTCAGTTCTGCAACTCATACCTATCAGTGAGTAGATGATGGTCCCATTCTCACCCTCGTCAGGGTCCTTGGCCTGCAGGGAGGCGACTAGAAGTCCCGATGGCTTCTCTTCCAGCACCTGCAGCACAGTTCAGGGAGCAGCTGAGTGGCACAGGGCACCCTTCAGACTACCCCCACAAACCCCCGAGCACAGCACAGGATCTGCACCTTCCTACACCAGCCCTGCACCTCACCCAAGGCACAGATCCTTGGCAAGACCCACAGGCTATGCCTGAGGCTGGACAACGTGGAGAAGCCCGCAACAAAGCTGGCAAAGGGAGTTTCTGCCCTGCCAGCCCTCCTCCCGTTCTGCCATTTAACAACCAGCTTAGCAGCACTGGGGCATGCTGCAGCCCCAACTATTTCACCCGTTTTACGTTCAAAGCCTCTACAGCTAGGAAAATCCAGGGCTCCAGGGCAGTCATGGTTCTCTCTGCCCACAACAGACCCCTTCAGCTGCAAATGCAAAGGTGTGAGCACCGACAGGCTCAGAGGCCAGTCACTCTGGCAATGGAAGGTGATTTCCTCAGTTCCCACCAGCCAGCCCAGCAAGGTCCGCAGTCTCTGGAAATGCAGCTGGTGGTTCTTCCTGAGCTCAGACACCTGGACTCTTAGGACTCTTGCCTTCTCTCCTTTGTTCCTAGTTAGCACTGCTGACTGCTTGTCTGTAGGCACTTAAGACCACCATTTTATGCCAGTCCATCACAGTACCATCAAATGAACTATGCATGTGCTCCGCTTATGATTCTGAGGTGAGTTACCTGCTTCCTGACAATAGACCACATGTAACAGCACTGCATGCAAGCACCTTTCCTGGATAGTTAAGGAGATCCCCATTACTGCTCATCACCACTTGTCAGATTTTGGGAGTACCCTCAGCAAACAACTCGTGCCTGCTGGCAGACATGTCTCTCCTCCAGCACAGACTCCTTGCATTTACCCACACCTCACTGGTACAGCAGGATCCCCACTTGGCACAGACTCTGTGGTCACTTACACACCAGAAGACATCAAATTCGCATCCTATCAGCACATCCCACAGCACAAATCATCCTCACAGATCCAGCTGTGCTGGGCGATCTCTGTGTGGTACCATTTTAATGCATTTATGAAAAAGGCAAGTGGAGTTCGAGCAAAAATCCAAGGAAAGAGGCTGCAAGCTCCTGTGAGGAGGCAAGTGTTAATGCTGTTGCGCAAGCTGCTGGCACCATGCTGGTGGCGCCCAGGGAGGGGCGACCAGAGGAGCTGGACTTGTTTAGCCAGGCCAAGCAGTGATGTGACTGCACTCTGTAAACACTGGGGAGAGGGGAGGGAAATTCCAAGGAGAGAGAAGAGCTGTTTAAGCAAAAACACAATATTGGCACAAGAACAAATGAGTATAAAGTGGTCAGAAATTAGTTTAGGCTGGAAATTAAGAGATGGTTTCTAACTACCAGATCAAGGAATCTGGAACAGTATTTCACAGCAGTGATGGAGGCAGAAGACCTTCTAAATATAGCTTGCCTGTTTATGAAAATGAGTGTCTGCGTGGACACCCCTGAGTGGGGCCATGCTTGGGAGGCCCCTTCCAACCCCTCTCTAACAGGCTGGGGCAGGGCTTGCCCCCCATGCTGTCCCTAATCGCCCTCAATCAGGACACAAAGGGCTCCTGCTTTGAGCGTGTGGTCATACTCCTCTTCCACAAGGAACTAAACTCCATCTGAAGAAAGCAGTGACTTAGCAGAGGAGTTAAATGAGCAGCATCTGCACAGGCTCCATGTACAAATGCCATTTCAGATGCACAAACAGAGGAATAAACAGCAATAGAAGTGGTCTTGCCTCTGCAAAAACCTCAGCCTTAGTAAAATTGCTACCAGGCAGGCTTGTCCAGGTCAGAAGTCCACCCTTCGAGAAGGCTGCTGCAAACACCAGCTTGGTTGAAAGACCAGAGAGCCATCGCAACCACTGGCATAGCTCTGACAGTGGCTGGCAGTGGAGATATAGAGAAGATGCAAAAAATAGGGTATATATGGAATAATTCTCCTGTGAAACCCTCCCAGCTTCCAGCAGTCTGTGGCTAAGTCACTTCCTGAGCCACAGATCATATTTTTGTTCAGCCGCCTTTGACGGATTTTTTTCCTTTCCATGAATTCATCTAATTTTGAACCCATGCAACTTTTGGCAATGATTTCACAATTTAATTATGTTCTGCACAAAAAAAGTGCTGCCTTTGTTTATTTTAAACCTGCTGCCTGGTCATTTCTTACTAAGCTGCCTAGGTCTTGTGAAAAAAGCAGCTTCTAATTTCCCAGTAACTTTCTGTGTGTCACTCACTGCACACTGTTATATTCCTGCAGTTTCTTCCATGCCAAAGAATGCCCAAGTATTTTCTTCCTGCATGGAAACCATTATCTACTGGAGGTCACATTAACATCCTTTTCTGAACCTTTTCTAGCACTACTGCTTATTTAGTGGAATGGAGGCAGGGAAGAGAGCGTGTGCAGAATTTGAGATGTAGGGTAATGATGTTTTATTTCATTCCCTGTTCCTTTTCTAACAAAATTCAGCATTTGATTTGCCTTTTTGACTGTGGCTGAGCCCTGAGCTGATATTTTCACAAAGCATTCATGGCGATGCCCCAGTCTTCTCCCTAAACTTATGTAGCCAATTCAGAGCCCGTCACCGTGTAAGTGACATTCATACCGCTCTTTTGTGATGCGTATCACTTTCCAGTTAGCAACAGTGAATTTCATCTCCCATCTTCTTTCCTACCTGAACAGTAAAACAAGATCCCATTGAACAGTAAAACAAATCCTTCTACAGTTATTCACAGGGAGCACTCACCTTTATTACTACGAATAGACCAGTAACATCAACAGTTACTTCTTCTGGAGGATACATGAAACAGCTAAATAGCAAGGATACCAGCACCAATCCTAGGCACCGGCCAGTGACACTGCCCCTCTGTGAAAACAGATCACTGCTTCCTTCCCTTTGCTCCCTCTCCCCTTTCCTAGTGATCATTTCCCTGGGAGGATCCATTACTACTGCAGCTCCTGTGTGAACACCACTGGTCCTGCCAGTGTGTTACCAATGTGCTTGACAAGCTCATCTTGCAACCCTGCAGTGGGAGATACCCCACCAGCTGATGCTTAAAGCAAGGTGCCAATACAGAAACCTCCCTCTGCTTTGCCTAATGAACATCAACAAGAAACTTCACTAAGCAAGTCTGCATTAAATCACTGAGCTTTGCATTTATCACTCAGTTTTTACTTTTCCCTCTAAGCCTTTCTTCTACACCTGGATGACGATTAGCAGTGGCCTCTTCCTGTGCTTTACCCTTCTTTACCAGTGTTTCTAGCAGGAGAACTTCAAACCAAAATGGCCAAATACTTGTTTCATTCAAAACTGTCACACCATTTACCTGCCTTCAGGACTCTAAATCTGTCCTAGCCTTGCTCTGTCTCCTGAAGGATGTGTATGCTTTTGTGGTACCTTTGTATGAGAAGAGACCTCCTGAGCTCTAGCAGGACATTCCCAGCATTTCATGCCCCAAACACTGGAATCAGCTGCAGAGCCTGCTGTGTGAGTATGCTGTGGGTGTCCCCACACACGGGCCAGGACACTCAGCAAACTGAAGAGTGTGAGCAATGCCATTTTGCAGAGCCTGTTCAGCTCCAGTCTCAGCAATGCCACAGCTGACTGGTCCCTGGTCTGCAGGAGGGATTCAAAGGCCAGAGCCTTGCTCAGAGAGAGGACAAGACTAACTTTGCCTTCCTCTGCCTCCACCAGGCCCCAAGAGATGCCTTCATCCAGGCCAAGCCTCGCCAGACAGTTTTGCAAGCAGAGGGTGCCAGCTGGACATGCAAGAAGAAGGCTGGTCAAGCGATGGCTGCAATTGGAACAGGGCAGGAAAAACTAATGAACAGGGAAGGCCTGACTGGAGTTGCAAAGTGTCCCCCGGGTCCTGTGCTGATGGCCACCCAGGTGAGGCAGTGACCTGCCAATACAGTCCTGCCTGCTCTGACCCACCTCGGGTGCTCAGCTCAGGCAGGACCTGTGACAGAGCAAGGCTGCCATCACTGTGACGTTTTAAACCCAGCACAGTGCAAGCGGCTTTGAGTACACTGCCTGAAGTGCAGCAAAGCGCAGAGCAAGCACATCCTTTCAGCTGCAGGATCTCCCCACTCTGTGCAGAGGAGATGAGGACAGGGCCTCGATTGCCCATCCTGCTCCATTGCTGCCAGCGCCACTCAGCTGCCTCCAGTTGAGCCCTTGCCACACATGTCACTCCACAGGGGCCACAGCAGAGCAGACGCAGCCATCTGGGGCTGAGGGGGGGTGTTAGTCTTCATCCACTTTTGTTGTGTACCACAGACCAGGCATAACTCTGTCTGCAGTATGCTCAGTGCCTGGGTGACCGCCTGGACAAGGTCCTGTGCAGCCTGCTCTGGGTGACCCTGCTTCAGCAGGGGGATTGGACTAGATGACCCACAGAGGTCCCTTCCAACCCCTGCCATGCTGGGATTCTGTGATTCTGTGCCACCACACAGTGCTGAGAGGGAAAGCTGGTCTGGGACCCACAGCACATTCTCAGCAAACCCTTGTGAGTGCAAAGTCCAGCTGGGCAGTGCTTTCTGGACCTCCCAGAAAGATGAGTGGCTATCACGGAATCCGAAAGTTCTGAGACCTACAAGTTAACAGCACCCTCTGTCTCCCTGCTTGCAAGTGTATTACCCCTGGCTCTGCTGGTCAGGTTTAGAGCTCCCTTTCACCTTCCCTCATTGCAGGCATGTGTGAGCCAAGAGCTTCTGCCTGCTAGTCACTTCTATTGGTCTCAGAGACCTCTGCAGCCCTCACCTGCTCTGTGCGCAGGGATGTCTGTATTTCCCAAGGACATGTCCATCTTACCACATCTTAATCAGATTTACCAGACTGCCCTGGCTGCTGCATGGATGCAACTTGTGCCTGCTTATCTCCCACCCCAAAACTATCCTGCGTGTCCCTGCCCACTCCCTTTCCCCCTGAAACCTTGCCCCCAAACCCAGAGGCTATCACACCCCTGCCTCACCAGGGCTCCAGCCTGCTGCCCCTACCTGCACGGGCAGCTCCTGACCACTGGCCACGTGAAGGAAAGCAGGAGCGTTGTCATTCTCATCCAGCACAGTGACATAGACGGTTCCTGTGGCACTGCGGGGTGGTGCTCCCCCATCTTGCACAATCACCAAGAGTTGGTAGCTGGACTGCTGCTCCCGGTCCAGGCTATGCTTGGTGCTGAGCTCCCCTGTGAGGGAGAAGCGGGGACACAGCTCAGCCCAAAAACTGCTTTAGAGAAGAGCCTGTGCTCAGGTATGTTGCTGGGGAGCCCAGCACCGCAGGGGTAGAAAGACAAATGCTCTGTTGCGGCACTGGCCCGGCCCACATCACTTTTGACCTGCCCTGGGCTTTCTCCCCAGCCAGCCCCAGCCTAGGAAGCCAGGAAGTCTCTCACCTGTCTGTGTGTGGATAAGGAAGTTGGGATCATGCTGGAGCAGGCGGTAGGTGAGCCGGCTGTTCTGCCCAGCATCCCGGTCACTTGCCGTCACCCTCCCCACACTGCTACCAGGAGCCTGATTCTCAGGAACAGTGAAGAAGTAACGCTCCTCACTCAGCCGGGGGCTGTTGTCATTCTCATCAGTGATGCTGATCCGTACAGTGCTGGTGCCTGTTTTCCGGGCTTCCCCCGCTGCAGCACTGCCTCCTGCCGAGGCCAGCACCGTGAGCACATACAGGTCCCGCGTCTCCCGGTCCAGCGTGCTTTTGACATACAGCCAACCACTCTCAGGCATGATGCCAAAGCTGGCAGCATCCCCATCTGCACGCAAGTGGTAGGTAAGGGCCATGGATTCTGCATCGCGTGCCAGGGCCCGCACCTGCAGGAAGCGGGTGGAGACAGGCACACCTTCCTGCACCTCCACGCGGTAGGTGAGTGTGTCAAAGATGGGCCCATTGTCGTGCTCGGCTTGCACATGCACCAGCAGCGTGAATGTGGAGCTGAGCTGGGGAATGCCACTGTCTCGGGCCACAATGGCCAGCCTGTAGGCTGCGCTGGCTTCATACTGCAGAGTCCCAATCAGTCGCACTGCCCCTGATGAGCGCTCCACACTGAAGGTGCCATCACCTCCTGACACCAGCTCAAAATTCACCTGGCCGTTGGAACCGCTGTCACGGTCCTCAGCCTGCAAAGTGTACACTGTAGTCCCAGGTTCTGTGGCCTCTGGCAGCAGAATGGAGTCGGAGGGGGCTGGGAACACTGGCACGTTGTCATTCACATCTGACACAGAGATTTTCACGCGTGTGTTGCTATAGGCAGGAGGTGAACCACTTCGGGCCTGGACATCCAGAATGAGGACTGCCTGGGACTCATGATCAAGAGGCAGGCTGGTGCGGAGCTTCCCAGAGGCAGAGTCAATGGAAAAGTAGCCATGAGGATCCCCCGAGGAGATGGAATAAAAGATGTCATCAGCATGACCTGTGGACAAGGAAATGGAGAGGAAGAATGATTTGTGTACTGGGCTCACCTCCTCAGCCCCCAGCAGACAGCAGCAGGGTTGGGCAGTGCTGTCTGCAGCAGACTCTGGTCAGGAGGTGTGCAGTGGCATTGTGTACATGTGCATGTATGCACAGATGTAAGCACGTGTGTGAGAGCACACACTGAGTTAAGTGACAATCAGACGGGTGCACATTCAGATGTGCGTGGAGAACCTCCCAGAACAGGGTTGCTCCATGAGGAAGTGTGGTACTGGACCTTCAAAACGATGCAGGGACAGGGAAAGTGACTGCATACAAAAGAGGCAAGTCCATACCTGGAGGGTTCTGGGCCCGAACAGCACCCACAGTGGCACCCTGCAGCATGTCCTCAGGCACCGTGAAGAAGTACTGAGCTTGCTCAAACACAGGGGGTGAGACTGTGCCCTCCACGATGCTGATGTTCACCCGGGCATTTGGCTGTGCCTGTAGACCCCCATCATCTTGTGCAGAGATCACCAGCTGCACCAGAGTGTTGGCTTTACCACTCAGGGACCATGAGAGGGAGATGACACCTAGGAAAGAAATCAGTTCAGAAGGCACTATGCCTGCACCCCTGCCTTTCATCTGGCACCAAGGGAACAGGCCAAACCATAAGCTTGAACAAGAAGACCTAAGTGGGCAGCAAAAAGTGTGCGTTGCAGGGGAGAGTGGAGCTCACCATGGAAGAACTGGAGCAAAGAAGAAGAATCCTTCTGGGAAAGCCTCCCCAAATCCTCCTTTCTCAGCCTTAAGCCCAGCCCGACCTAAGCAGTGGTAAGGGCTGGGGGAAATGAGCCAGAGGGCAGGTCTTGGGAGAGGGAAAGGAAGGAACAGGGCTTCCAATGAGGGGCGCACGGTGAGGGTCACGACACAGCAGGTGGGATCTGGGCTGTGGGGAGGCTCCTAGAGGAGATGTAGAACTGAAGGACCATCTTCGACAGGCCCTACGAAGGAGGTGGCCCTGCATTAGAATGGCTGGTAGGCCTGTCTCATCCCAGTCACATTCTGGGAACTTGGGGACTAGTGTGTAGAGACCCTGATGCTTGTGCTGAGCACAGGACACCTTGTCCCACTGAGAGCCCTTCGCACCACACGCCCATACACTCACCGCCCCAGCAGAAACTGCTCTGGCTTTGGTGGCCAATGCAAGGCAGAGCAGATGCAGCCAGTGAGAAAGGTGGGACTGAGTGCAACAGAGAGTTATAGGAAAGGAGAATAAATTGAGCAGCGGAGAGGACGGAACGGGGCAGGGACGAGGAGGGAACTGGGCAGGGACAAGAAACTAAGTGGTTACAGCCTGATGGGGCAAAGCAAGCAGCATGCAGGAGGAAAGGCACAGTCAGGGATGGGGAATGAGGGAGAGGAAGGAAGATGGGACAAATGAACAGCAGATCAGGGACCAGAAACAAGAGGTCAGAGACTGAGTCTGGGAAGGGGCTGCCAGAGGCTCAAGAAGCCGAGGCAGGGAAGATGTGGCAGGGAGAGGAACAGACATATTCTGGCGGCAGATTGCACTGCGGAGATGGCCAAGCAATGACCCTCAGGCTGGTTTTACAGCTGCCCGTATCCCACTGCTCTGATTTCTGCCTACTCTAGCTACCCCCTGAGCTCCCTCTCACCTGTGTCCTTGTTGAGGGAGAAGAGAGGGGGTGAGTTTCCCAGAACAATGCGGTAGGTCACTTTCCCGTTCAGCCCCTCATCCTTGTCGTGGGCAGTAACACGCAGCACAGCTGTACCTGGCATGCTCTGTGTGCTGATGCTGGCAGCATACTCCAGTGGGTAAAACACTGGCCGGTTGTCATTTATGTCCTCCAGGAAAACTTTCACATACATCATGGAGTTCAGGCCCCCCTGTGGAAGGACCAGATCAGAGATGGTACAAAAGGCAGGGGCAAGGACAACAGTATCCCCTGTACAGTGCTGAGTCAGCAGCATCGCATCCCCCACGGCCTCTCCAGCACTCACCCCATCAACAGCAGTGATGGTGAAATCATAGGCAGACGTGCCCTCATCACGATCCAGAGGCTGCACAGTGCACAGCTGACCCGTGTGCTTGTCAATGCTGAACTGCGTGGGGACAACACTGCCGATGCCAGAACCAATGGAATAGGAAAGGGAGCCAAATGTGCCGCTGTCTGCATCTGTGGCTGTCACCTGGATGAGGGAAGGCACTACATGAGCAGGGCCAGCACCACAGAGAAGACCACCAGCCAGACCCAGCCCATTACCACAACCGCCTCCATAACCCAGTGCTGCCCTCTGCTCTGTGGCCCACAACCACTGCACAGTCCTCAAAGCTGGCCATTAGTAAAGCAGACTGACAGTTACTGCCTTCACCCTGCGATTCTTGTCCCAGACATGTCACCATGTCCTCTGCAGCCCTCCCTGCAAGAGGACAGGACCTCCCAGGGGCTCACTGGCTGCAGACAGTGCCCTGGGCAGTGCTGCAGGCAGCTGTGGGGCAACCCAAGATCAGCCTATGCTGGCCCCGTCCCCATGAGGGGACAGAGAGGTGCAGGAGCACAGCGTTGCAGATTCGCAAAAGCTGCAACATGCTTTCTAGCTACAGTGCTGCCATGGGCCCCTGCACTACCAGGCGTGCCTTGTTGCAGCTGATACCTCATTTCTTGCACCCCTGGGGCAACATCCATGACCCAGGTCAACAGACTTGCCTTAGTAAAGGAAAAGGCCACAGGAAGGTGGGGTGCAGCAAGGCCAAGCCTCACACAGATGCCAGGGATCTAGCAGCCAAGCACCCCTACTGCACCCAGCGTGATCAGCCAGTGAGGACAACCCATGCTTTTGCAGCAGCTGCGCCTGGCCCTCTGCCCCTTCTTTTCTGCAGAGAGGCTTAAAACAAGATAGGCAGAAAACCAGCCCCCTTTTCACCACGACCCTGGCTCTGTCTTGCTCTCAGAGCCCTGTGTCCTGGGCTCTGAGGATGATGACTGAGGGTGGCCTTGCCCTGTGACAGCCAGGGCCCACCGGAGCCTGGGGAACAGGAATTGCATTAGTAGTTACAAAGACAGCAGGGGGATTAAAACTGCTCCCTGCCTGCAAGGCCTCAGTTCCTCCCTGGGCTCCTTGTGGAGCTCGGATCAGCAGCAAGCAGCTCCTTCCCTCTGACCCCAGCACCACTGCCCATGGCTCATCCACCAGCTGGGAGCTATGCGCAGAGAACAAAGCTTGGAGGACGGAGCCAGGAGGGAGGCAGCTGGGCCCGGCCCGGGTGAAGTGGAGTTCAGGCCTCATCAGCCACAGCTCCTCCCAGCAGCAGCAGTGGGGCCTCGGCTCCCGTGAGCGAGCAGCACAGGAACGCTGCTCGCGCGCCAAGGAAAGGGCCCAGCTGGGGGCTGCAAACAGCTCTTTCCTCCGGGCAGGGCCCTTAACCTGAGCCACTCACCCCAGCACCAGAGGTGGAGGAGCAACAAGAGAGAGTACGGAGAGCGGCTGGGCCAGGGAAGAACAAACCAGGCAGGCAGAGGTGGGACCTCCCTCCCTCCCTCCAGACCACACGCTCTGCACCCCAGGAGGGCAGGCAGCACCCCAGGAGGGCAGGCAGCACCAGAGACAGCCCCTTGCCCGCTCTCGGGCCCACTGATACACAGCCTCCGGGGAGGGCAGGCAGCACCCGCAGCACACCCTCACCAGCTCTCCTGCCCTGCTGCCTGCGGTCTAAGGGAGTGCCCGAGGGGAGAAGCTGACAGCACATCTACGATGAGCACCATGCTCCCTGTACAGAGTATTTGCTGCCCAATCCTGCAGCAGCTGCCAGAAGAAGCACCATGAAACAGGATCCCCCTTCCCGGCTCCAGCTGCAGAGCACTCAGAGCCACAGGTGCCATGACAGCAACCCTGCCAGAAAGCACTTAGAGAAATTGGACCCACCTGCCTTCCCCTGAGTGCAACACCCCCCCTCCCTCCTGCCCCAGCTCCCTTTGCTGTGGAGCTGCTCATTTGAGAGTATAAATCTGACCTCACCGACATTGCTGAAGCCTGTCTTCAGATCACCTGCATTCTGGCTCCATGTTGGATATTATTACTGGGGTAACAGCCCTGCATAGATACACTTGAGTTGTGTGCAATGCCCATGTTTTAGCTGGTAGCATTCTCTACCACCGCAGAAGGAAATGCGCCTGAAACTGATAAGCTGCCACAGTGACTGGAATAGGCACTATGGGGTAAATTAGTAACTTATTTCCTTCAGAATGAACTGCTTATCACACTGAAAGTGCTCTAAAATGCATGTCAGATGCTTTAATACGCTGTACAGCAACAAGCTCTGCAGCAGAGTAAGATCTTTTTCTTAGGCTCCTTGGGCCATGGGCTCTGGTGCTTCCAGAACAGCCTTGCTTCTGCACCTTAACCATCCTCTGACGGTCACCATCCTAAGAAAGATACCCACAGGGGAAGCTAACTGGAAATCCAGCTTTCTGCCACAGGAGCTGGGTCAGATTTTGGTAACAGCGAATGAGCTGTCACTGTTATGCAGTATAGCACCATCTCCCTGGGCTCCCTGAGGCATCTCCCTGAATGGAGCCAATTGACCACTACCCTCTGGCTGCAACCTTCCAACCAATTCCTTATCCACCGAACAGTCCACCCATCAAATCCATGTATCTCCAATTTAGAGAGAAGGATGTTGTGAGGCACTATGTCGAAGGCTTTACAGAAGTCCAGATAGATCACATGCGTAGCTCTTCCCTTGTCCACTGATCTAGTCACACCATCATAGAATCATAGAATCATGGAATCATAGGTTGGAAATGATCACCAAGTCCAACGCTCAACCCACCACCACCATGCCTACTAAACCATATCCCAAAGTGCAATAGCTACATGTTTTTTGAACCCCTCCAGGGATGGACTCAACCACTTCCCTGGGCAGCCTATTCCAATACCTGACCACTCTTTCAGTAAAGGAAATTTCTCCTAATATCCAGTCTAGACCTCCCCTGACGCAACTTGCTCCATGATTCTCCCAAGCACCAAAGTGTGGCTGACAGGAGTGTAGATCCTTACATCACCCTTTTGGCCTTTTTTGAAGGTGGGGTGCAATATTTGCTTTCCTCCAGTTGTCAGGGATCTCCCCTGATCTCCACCACATTTGAAAAAGCAGCCCTGCAAGTCCATTTCTGTCAGCATCCATTGATGCAGTCTGTTGGGTCCCATGGACTTGTACAGATCAAGTTCACTGAAGAAATCCTGATTCAGTCTTCATCCTGGTCTGGTAGCTCTTTGAACCCTTTCAAGAAGCATGGAGGCCTGGGAGACATTGGTGAAGACTGAGGTAAAAGAAACATTGAGTATTTCAGTCTTATCTGTGTCTGCTGTCACTAAATCACCCACTGCATTCAGAAATGGCCCCTTATTCAGCCTTTTACTACCAATGCGGTTTTCTTATCACCCTCAGTTTTCTGTGCAAGTCTCAACCCCACTCGAACTTTTATTTTCCTGACGCCATCCCTACATGCCTGGGCAATGTTTATAAATTCCTCCTTTGTAACTTCCCTCTGTGTCCTCCTCTTGTATGCTGCCTTTCTGCATTGCAGCTTGGCCCTGAGGTCCCTGTCTAGCCAAGGTCATCTGCTGATATGTCTCCTTGTTTTCCTGAGTACCGGGATGGACTATTCCTGTGCTTGCAGTATGCTGACCTGAAGGCTTGCCAGCTTTTCTGAGCTCCCTTCAGAGCCTTCAGAGCTGCCTCCCATGGGATCCCTCCCATCTACCAGTTCCCTGTATAAGCTGAAGTCTTGCTTTAAGTCCAGGGTCTGTACTCTGCTACCCTCCTTCCTCACTCCCTTTAGGATCTTGAACACTGCTAGTTCATGGTCACTACAGCCAAGGCTGCTGCCGTTTACCACATCCTCAGTCAGTTCTCCCTTGCTAGTGAACAGCAGACCCAGCTGTGTGTCACCCCTGGGTGGCCTGGGAAATTGAAATTCTCTGTGAGACCCAGCGTCTATAATCCAGAGGCCTCCCTCAGGTACTGCGGCCTCCTTGGCAATTTCATCTCAGGAATTTCCTGGCCCAGCATTGATATCCTTGTGTTTAAAGCCTTTAGTGGATTTTTCTCTGTGAATGTGGGTAGTTGCTTTCTGAATCTATACAATTCCATATTACTGTGCCCTGGAGCGAGGAATTCCACTCTTTTGTATTTTTGTTGAACCCTGCACTGCTGGGGAGCAAGAACCTCCAGCTGGCCCTGGACCAGGACACTGCTGGCACATCCTCACAGGTTGAGGCTGTGCTGCTCTGCCTTGCTTGCTGCCCTGCAAGGGCAAAGGCACATGTGAAGAGAGACTGAGTGCCTCAAGCCCAGGCTGTGCTCTCCAGCCCGTGATCAGGCGTTGGCTCAGCACAGCCACAGCAGAACTGTGAGGCACCACCAAACGGCCGCGGGATATCCTGGATAGGGGCTGTGGAGGAAGCTGGCAATACAGGGAGGTGTCACTGGGGTTGACAAGAGAAAGGTGCCAGTCCTAGTGCCCATGTGAGCAGCTGTATGAGACCTGGGACATGATGGAGCTACAAGAGGCAGGTAGGGACGGGGTGTGCTGTGGGACATGGGAGAGGGGTGGTAGCCTGTTGCAGACCAGACCTGGCCATGGCTGGCACAGCGTGCAGTGCTGGGAGACACCAGTGCTGCCCCTGGCTGAGTGGGCTCTATGTGAGGCTGTGTGAAGGCTGGGCTATCCCAGTAACATACTGTAGGCAGAATGAGAGGACAAGGCATGGAGGGAGATGTGCTGTGCACAGCTGCAGCAGGTTCCAGAGAAATACTGTGCTCATAGGGAAGCATATCTTAACAAGCCAAAAGACAGGCAGGAGCACTGTCTCTGTGCTGCTCAGAAACCCTGGCCTCATTCTGGACTCCAGCAGGATGCTCTGCAGGACCCTGAGCCTCAGTCTCCCTCTCTCTTCAAGACCAAGGAGCTGACTGCTGTCAGAAATACTTCCCATAAGCAATAGCAGGATGCATACATGCAGCCATTATTTCCTGATGGCAAAGGATGTCCCTGTGGAGAATGGGGTCCTGCAGGATAGAACAGGAAAGCTACAGGGCAGAAAACACTCTGACTTTGCAGCTGGTTTATCCAGGAAGAGGACAGGTTGCCTGGTCCACCCACCAATACCAATACAGAGAGGGTTTC